GTGTCTGGCTCAACCGCCCTGCCAATCCAGGGCTGATCGGATGGGAGCTGCAGGCCCTAATCGTGAGTGTATAGACTGTGCTGATAGAGGAAGGCCCGTCGTGCGTCCTTTCGAGCGCACTAAGTACATAGAAGCTTGGGAGACAACATGCCCTTCTTGCTCCAAAGGAACCGATTGGACGGGCCTAGGCCGAGCAGCATTCGCTACCAAGCCTACCTCTCACACATACGCATCAAATGCGTGAGCTACTCCCACGTAAGCGCGACTACCAGCCGATCGGTCTCCTACACTAACGACAACGGCAATGTGCCTGCTAGCCGCGACGCCGGCGGTAGCGTTGCCAGCATTCCCGGAGCGTTTACTATGTCTAGTGTTTTCCATTAGCAAAACTTAACTAGAGAAACAACCTTTTGTATCGATCCCCACAGACGGCGCCAATGTTGGTTTTACGGCTTAGGGCAGCTGGACGGCGTGTTAACACAACCGTAAAGTACTAAGTAAACAAAGGAATATTTGGAGTAAAAGGTGAGTCAGAGTAACGATAAGTGTATTGAATTCAGAACCCTCTATAATGTGACCTTAGGGGTATTTATACAAGGAATATGGCCTTGAAGAAGGAAAGAAAGAAGAAATTAACTAAAATAATCTTAAGAAAGCTACTAAAATTGCTAGAATATCTTTCTAATGTGAAAAAAAGAAGTTACTTGCCGCACAAGGAAAACAATCTTTGTTGAATCTGCTTTAACTGCGACGCGCACTTGATCGGGGACACACCGACTGCCTAGTCTGGTCCTAACCGAGGAGACTGGTACACCGCCCGAGTGCCATACTATCCTCAGGCTGTCAGGGGGCCTTCCTCCCCATACTACTAAGTGTGCTAGTCGCCTCCACCGGACTGCCTATAGCATACCTGACTAGGTACCCAGTCAGGGGTATCCATCAATAATTATTATTATTATTATTATTATTATTATTATTATTATTATTATTATTATTATTATTATTATTATTATTATTATTATTGTATTGTGAGAAAAGTAATTATAGAAGTTTAATTAATCTTATTTAAGTCCAAGTTTTCAATATTTATAAGAAGAACTCCACCTTTATCCCCATTGTTTTTTAGTAATCCTCAACTGCACATCTACTCATATGGATGACTAAGTTTATTACTCACTTTTTACTTGAGAGCATATTCACGCACACATAATCGACGGGACTGGGGTTAAACTTTTGATATCCTAATCTAAAGTCAAATATGAAAAAGTGTTGATTTTCACATTCTAAATTTGCATCCTAATATTTACTAATTAATGTGTTAATAAAACTTTTTATATTTATTGATTGCTTATAAATTGTAAACCCACCACAAGTTAAAATAAAGAATTACACACATTAACTTAAAACCCCTCTTTGATTATTATATTGTTGGCAATTCTTTATTAACTTGATGTGAAAGATTAATATAGAAGTAGTTAATAAATAAAGCAAAGACTGTGGCACTTGGGTCTTCAATGATGCTCCGGAGGGCCTTGGTACCTTCCTCAGCCATGACGCAGGGGTGTCTTTATTCGTAGAGCTAGATAATCTTGAAGCTTAGCCTCTTTTTCTCTACAAATATATATATATATATATATATATATATATATATATATATATATATATATATATATATATATATATATATATATATATATAGTTAATAAATAAAGCATATTTATTTTAACGTCAATAAATATGAAATAATGATCTTAACTTATGAAAGATGTATATTTCACGTGAACTCTACCAAATTGACTTGTTAACTACTAAATTATATTAATTAAACGAACTTTGTAGTTTAAGTAGTCCAATTGATATAACTGTCTCAAATACTTAATTGATGGGCGCAACTAATTTAATTTACATGGCTTAATTGATGTGTAGTGCATCTAGACATCTAGACATATCTTCAAATTGAATTTGTTCCTCAACACATGCATTTGATAACACTAACATTTTAATTCCCTTAAATAAGGTAGCACATTGAACACACTAAATAATCTTTGAATTTACATGGCATGCATTGTCAAATTGTTATTATTAGTACTACAACATTGTTAGAATACGTGTATGTGGGGCAAATTATTACGTGGATCATGGTCCAAAATGACGTCGTTAAATTTTATGAATTAGAATAATGTACATTATGAGTTATAATAATATATCTTATGAGTTAGAATAATGTACTTTATGTGTTAGAATAATGTACTTTATGTGTTAGAATAATGTACTTAATGCATTAGAATAATGTACATTATCTATTAGAATAATGAAACTTCTGAGATAAAATAATATATTTTATGAATTAGAATAATGTATATTATGCTTTAGAATAATATATTTTGCAGTGATTCGCGTAAAAAAAGTTACACAAAACAACAACGTTTTTGAACTATGGTCCACACAGCTATGTGGACCACATTCTACGCAATAACTATAGTGTATGTGGTTCAAATCCTCTAAAGGAAGAAGTCAGTCCACATGGAGCACAACTATAGGATTTGTTATTCTGCATGTTCAAAGATCTCACCCCACAATTTTCTCTCCATTTATTTTCCTATTGAATTATACTATATATATGAGTATATGTATTCTCACATTCTACTCTGTCATCTTTATTCCATGATGTGACAACTAAGAATAAGTTATTTTGAGAAGTAGGGCTTAGTTTAAGAGTTTGATTAAAGGCCATTTTCGCCTGCTTAGGGAATGTGCTTTTCTCAAATCCTCTGTTATTCGATCACGTGAGTCCCAAAAGTATCAACATCAAAGACTTTTGAAAAAGAGTAGAAGTTAAAAGTAAAAAAATAGAAGCGCACCAAGTACTTTTCTTTCAAAAGTACTTTTCTTTCTTATTTTCTCTCTATCACTGTCATATAAATAGGTGTTGTAATAAGCCATCAAATTAAATCATCAATTCATTACAAAGTTATCTTTTACATCTCTTCCTTATATCTAGTTTAGATATTTTTGTGATACTTATTACATTATCGAGCTTGTAATATTTATTACACTACTACTCTTTATTACCAAATTTTGTCCCTAGCTACAATACTTTGTCTTTTTCCCCTTATTTATATTTTCAACTTTTCTATATAATTCTCAATTTCGATTATTTGTTTCCACACTATTATGCTATATTCCTAACAAACATGATATAACGTGGACGCTTTTATCAACAAAAGTTTACTCTGACTTTCTTTCATGAAATATTGTCTTTGTTATCACATGTGGGCTCCTACCTATACCTTTCAGATAGTACGTTGTTGCATGTGACTATGTGAGGTCGTTGTCTTGCAAACAACGATTGGGTTGATGATTATGGGACTGGGGAACACACTGCAATCCTAGTGAAAGCCAGTCTTCATATATACCACAGTTGTCATGGTTGGCCAATAAAATGCCTACTACATATACTTTTAAATTCTACTTCCTCGCTTTTAATTTATCATACGGGTCTCAACACTGTTGGAAATTATGGAATTTCCGGCCACCTGAAAGTGATCTTATATCAAGTCAAAAGTAAAAAGTTGTCGTAAATAGCAACACAGGTTTTTCCGGATACCAAAAGTGGTCGGAACAAAGCTTTTGACTTGATTTAAGATCATTTTCAGGTGGTCGGAAATTCCATAATTTCCAGCAGTGCAAAAACAATGTATATATAGATCAAAGATTTGTGAGATGAAATAAAAGTTGAGAGTAATAAATGAAAATCCATGTAGTATTTTTGGTAAGATAATAACCCATGTGATAACCTCCATCATTGAATTGAGAGTCAAGAAGTAGCCAACTTTTGAAACAACAATACTTATTGCATGGACCGCGGTCTACTGTGTGGACCACGATCGTTTTGCGTAATTTTTTTCACGCAACCAACTACAACATACATTTTTATAACTCATAATGTACATTATTCTAAAGTATAATGTACATACATTATTCTAATTCATAAAGTACATTATCTTACTCCAGAAGTTTCATTATTCTACCACATAATTCACATCTAACTCATAATGTTTATTATCCCAACTTATAAAATTCAACGACGTCGTTTTAGATCGTGGTCCACACAACCGTGTGGACCGATAATTTGCCTTGAAACATTGCACAATAATTCATTGATCAAAAGTTCTCTTGAGCCAAAGACGATGTACAAAATTGTTGCTTGGTGTAAAAAAAACATGTTCCATTGGTGAGTATAGTTGCCATATATTTGCAATAATTGGTGGTATTTGTTAGAGCAAATATATTTGCAATTCAAATTTATTGAGAAAACCTAATATGTTAAATTCAATGACGTATGTACTACTAGTGAATATCACAGTTATCCTATCGCAACTCACAAAAATAATACTATACACCTTAATTACTTTGCCAAACCTGCATATATATTATAATTTGGTCTTAAATAGTTGTCCATCAAGCTCAAATGTACTGTCAATGAGTGGCGTACAAATTGATTGGCAAGAAACTTTATGCTGCTGGCACTGACTTGGCCACTGTCCTATTGCGATTGAGTCTAGCTGATACTGAATCAGCCCCTGCTACTGAGAGTGGAGGAGATACTCCTACAGTATGAGTTACTTTGTCTACTATTCTGACAAAAAGGGGGAGAAGAACTTGAGGGGCAGAACATTAACTTGAGGGGGAGCATTACTGCATTACTTACCATTGCTTATTGTTTTTTGAGTTAATGACCAATTTAGTCCTTCGACTATTGCGAAACTACCGATTTGGTCCTCAATTATAATTCTTGCCAAATTAAGTCCTCAACTTTTTAATTTTTACCTGATCTCGTCCTCTGTCTATTTAACCGTGAAGCCTCTGTCTTCCTTAAGGATAGTAATGTAAATACACACAACCTTTGACTCAATGACTTTGAATCACTATTTACTGCCTTCTCCACATACCCTGAGATGGTTGAAGATAATCTGGACCGAGTTGCAGGAGTAATTCACCATAATTACGCTCAGAGTGGCTAGCATATAAGCTGTAAAATCGTCAGTCTTGGCCACTTTGTTCAACATAATCTTGATCAGTATATCCATTGCTCGTTCATACTCTGGTATGAGGACTTTCTTCTTAAATGAGAACTTGAGATTAGCAGGGGCTGCCTCAGATTTGATTTCTTCTCAGAAGTTCTGCGCGTTATAGGCGTACTGGGAGAGGTCAGGATGAGCTCCTTCAGGGATTGCAAAGTCGAATGCCGCCCTTATATCTCCCATGGCTCAAGTGAATTTCTTCTCCTACAATCCTCGTGTTCATAAATGATAAACCATTATGTGAAATCAAGCTTGTGAAGGTAGTCGTGGGTCAGAAATCTCATCAGCCCACAGTCGCTGAACCTCTGCATAATCTTCTCTGCCAGTTCTTTGACAGAGGCGTGTTGTATGAAACCATCTCGGTCTAGGAAGTGAAGTGGGTTTTAGAGAGAGAGACGGTGAAGGAGAAAATCAGTCCAGCAAAGGTTTGAATCTTCTTCCAAAAATATTCCCCACTCATTCCCATGCTTTTAACTTTTCCCTTTTTCTTAATTCCTGTTTGATTCTGGGTGCTGTGCTCAATTGCTTCAATTATTGCTTGCTTCAGTATGGGTTGGTGGGGTTTTCTTTCTTGGAAGCCATTAATGGAGAATTTTCAGAGCTTTGAGAGGGAGAAGGGAAATGAGTTCGATAGCTGTGTGTATTTACATAATTACATTACTATCCTTAAAGAAGACGGAGGCTTCACGGTGAAATAAACGGAGGATGAAATCGGGAAAAAATTGAAAAGTTGAGGGTTTAATTTGGTAAGAATCATAGTTGAGGACCAAATTGGTAGTTTTACAATAGTCGGAGGACCAAATCGGTCATTAACTCTTGTTTTTTGGTTATGCTTTTGGGTCTGTATTGTTTAAACTATTGTCCTCTAGTGAGGATCCTTTGAAGGCTTGGATATTTTATTATGCTAAGCAGCTATTTGTTAGTTTTTAGTTTAGCCGTTGTCTTTAAAGTTGTTATTAAACTTTTGTCAAATAATAGCCAAAGGGGGAGTTTGTTAGTGTTTAATATTGTTAAACCCTATTTTATGATTGGCTATATTGTGACAAATTAGATAGGCGTAGGTTTAGTGTCCATGTGATAACTGAAGAATATTCTATTAGAACATAAACTACACTAGGAGGTTTTTTGGAACCTAGCAGACGGTCTTCACAACCTTTCTTTCAAACCGGCATAGTAGTTACCATATTGTGGTTTTAAAAAACTATCCTTGTTGCAGTCATAATTACAAAAAAGAAGGCGTGACAAGTAATCTATGTCTACAAGGAAACCCTAGAAGATTACTTGTCATTCAAGATTCAGAGTTGTTTTATATGATAGAAGGATGTCGAAGCTTTGAAGACTTTTACACGAGAGATTAATGTTTGTTCGAGAGGCTCATTCTACGAGTTTCTAAAAGTCCATTCTCTAAATCATCATCTGATCTTCTTAATACTTTTGTGATCGGAGTTAAAGAAGACTTATTGAGAAAACAATTTGCAAAGTGATTATCCGTGGACCGTATTCCATTCATCTGCAGTGCAGTGGTGGGTAAGTCAATGAGACGGACAGCTACAACGTGGATCTCCAAACGAGGGACTCTTTGGACTACCGATTGCATGGATTTCCGCCTCAACAATCCTCTATAAGCTTCATCAGATTGGGTACTTACATTGTGAGGTATATCGCACATTGGGTTGAGATTGTGGTTTCTTTACCATCTGTATGATTGACTGGTTGTGATAGTGGATTAGACTCACTAATGGTGGTCCCAAGACGTAAAAACTGTTGTATCGAACTGGGTGTACAATACCTTGTGTATTTTTCTTCCTGTTTAACTTAATTTTCGCACTTTTTCTTATCTTTGTCACACGAACTGGTTGAAGAAACTTATTATACTGAGTTAGTGATAAGACAAACTCTCAATATAATCAAATTAATACTGAATCATTAAATAGATACAATCTATATATACACGAATACAGAAATTTCACTTAAGCTTTTCACAGGAGAACCCTTGTTAATCTTCTATGTAGATCAGAGATCTATGACAAATTCAACACACAAGGTTGAATGATCCTCCAAGATCTTAAATTTCTTTGAGTTTTTAAGTCTCTTGGAAAACTAGATGAATTGGCATATATAGCTTTTGAATGCTTTAGTGTTTGATATTAAGTAATAGACCTTCTATGTCTCATCTCTTTGGGATTTCTTCTATTTGTAGTTGTATTTTCAATATGTTCATTAGAGGGAACAAATTTAAATCTCCCACTTGCCATTAAAATATTGTGGCTGGATTTGACAAGTATAGATGACATCCAATAGCTACTTACAACTTGTCCATTAAATCCGGCTTTATGTGACTTTCATGGTAGTTTCTTAAAAAGCATGTATCCACATTTGATATTGTGAAAATTCTCCAAAAGTAGTAAGGATCGAACAGAGGATGTTGGTCGAAAGACCCTACTACTTATCATCCTATTATAAGCTCTGATACTTATCTGAATAGTCTTGTTGCTTGATATTGAAAAGTTGTACGTGCTGCTATGTAGAAGTTGTGTTGCTGAAAGTACTATTGCTCAGGGTTGCAAAACTCGGCCGCCTAGGCGCTAGGCGGCACCAAGCCTTGCCGTTTTGGCCTAAAGGCGGCCAAAACTCGGCCGGCCGCCTAGGCTGCCAACTCGGCCGAGTCGACCGATTTCGTCCGATTTTAACCGATTTCGTCCGATTTTGACCAATTTCGTCCGATGTCGTCTTTCATTAATTATTGATTTTAATATTATTATGACGTTATGACTTAGAAATTATCATTATTTCATTTATTTGGATGTGTTATTTGATTGAATGTTGAAAACAACCTCATTAAAATTGTCAAACTATAAGTCTGTTACTATTTTTTTTTTAATTTTTTTGGTGCCCGCCTAGCGCCGCCTAGATTCCGCCTAAGCGGCGGCTAGACCGCCTAGGCGCTAGGCGCTGCCCGGCCGCCCGACTTGCGCCTAGCGCCTACTGCAACCATGTTGTTGCTTGAACTTCTACTGTTTACAAAAGCCTTACACTAAAGTGTCATCTCGCATCATGAACCATAAACTAATTTTTTTTCGCCTAGCCTTTTTTGTAGGTTTTCCGATAAACACTATGACATGGCACCGATTTCTGCTTATTTGGGCTTATTTGTTATGTGACGCGGCTTTAATTAAATAAGATGTAGTCCATGTAAGCCTTAATTAAATAATAATTAAAAAATGGCTAAAACTAATTCACGCTTCCCTTCCCTCGATAAAATTCACCCCATTTCGCACGTCTGCCGCCTTAGTGGAAAAAAATCGCTGGACTCACCCGAACCCGTCGAGCCTCAGTGTTTTATGGATATTTCCTCCGTTTTTCCTGGTCGGCACCACCGAGGTCTTCACTTACGTCGGTGTAATGGCCTCAGGAGAAGAAACAAACTAATAGACTAAAGAAGGCAGAAGCAAAACAGCGTCGTTGGATGTCCGGCAGTTGCAACTTAAAAGTTGAAGAACGGACGACGTCGTTTGAAGGGTAGTTAGTAGTTGAATCTATTAGTCTGTTAGTAGCGAACTGAATGTATTAAAGGATTTGATTTTTCCAGTTTTGGCTATGTATGAATAATACTGAGTTCTTCGTTTTCTCACATCTCTCATCAACTCTCTCTCTCTCTCTCTCTACCTTTCTTTCTCTCTATCTTTTACCCCCTTTCGCAACCTAAAGCTTTACAATTAGTATCAGAGTCCTCTAATGGAGGCAAGAGTAAACTGATTGGAAGCAACCGTCACAGATTTGAATAACAGGATGGAGGATCAATCTAAGGCAATGCATGCCTTACCTGAAAGGATAATAGCTCAGGTAGATGCTAAGCTAAATGGTTGGAAGGATGAGATTCTAGAAACAATCCGATTGAATAGGCCGGCGGTGCCGGTAATAAACTCCATTCCCGGAGAATCGTCGGTTAATGGAGCTGGTCCAGCAGCGCGGTCAACCTCACAACTGTTGCTTAATCAACAAGGGATGAGACTGGGGAAGGCCCCTGCCGCTCTAATACCACCAGTCGAATTGGAGAATGGTGCATCCACTAACATCGAATCCAGCAGAAAAATTGAACCTGCTAGGATCGATAGGGATCGGGGATCAAGAGTTCCCAGGGAATCGCAGTTTAGATCACAGCTGGACAGCCCAATTATGAAGTACAAATATGATTTCCCTACATTTGAATATGATCAACCCCGATTGTGATAAGTAGATGTGAGAGATTCTTCTTAATGACTCATATCCCTAGAGCTGAGATTGTAAACATACTGTATATGAATTTGACTGGAAGGGTTGGGTTGTGGCTTGAAGGCTATTTGAATGGATTGTCTGGACCCTTCCAGTGGTCTATGTTTGCAGAAGCTATTTGCAAAAGGTTTGGGGGAGACAGTGGGGCAGTAATGGAGGAGTTTACAGGGTTTAGACAAGTTGGAGGGGTACTAGAATTTACAGATAAATTTGAGGAGTTTAGAGGCCTGCTATTCCAGAACCACCCCACTCTCACTGATGCCTATTTCTTAGAGGCTTACGTAGCTAGGCTCAAACATGCTCTTAGGTGCTTTGTGAGAACCTCTCAACCCCAAACCTTGGCAGATGCTATGTGGTTTGCCAAGCAATTTGAAAAAGGGCTCATAGCTACTGAACTACCTAAATCCACCAGCCAATATCTTCCAAAGTTCTCCCAACCCACAAACTCCCAATTCACCAAGACCTATAACACCAAAACCCTAGAAAACAAAATCCCTACCAATTCCCAAAGCAGTACTGCATCCAATAACCTAAATAGCACTGCCAAAGGGCCTGAATTAGCCGTGTTTAAGTCCCGGCTAATAGAACAAAATAGGTGCTTTAGGTTCTTTGAACCTTGGAAACTCGACCATAGGTGCAAGGGCTCTACCTTTAATATCATTGAAGATACTGAGTTCTATGATACCTCTGAGGATTTGAGGTAGTGAGGGATAAGAGCAAGAAGGCAGGAGGAACAGTAATCAGGCTGATGTGTCATTGTATGTTGTGATATGGGAGGAGAAGGGCTTAACACCATTAAACAACTGGGAACAGTTGGCAAACATCATATAGTAATCCTAGTTGATAGCAGAAGTACTAATAGCTTTTTAGATCCCAGAGTACTCACCCAACTAAGGATTCAATCTGATCTGAGAAGGCCCACCCCCTCAGTGTGATAGTAGCTAATGGGGAACAAATACTGTGTGACTCCATTTGCAGGGAACTGAAGTGGCAAATCCAAGGTGAGATGTTTGAAAAAGATTATAGAATGTTGAAACTAGGTGGTTGTGATATGGTCCTTGGCATGGATTGGACAGATCAGTTTGCACCTATCCAACTCCACACCAGGCCACCTAGTATTTCATTCCACATGGAGGGAAAGAAGGTTCCGTTAAAGGGGCTGAATAGAAAGGCAAACAGATTGCAATCAGCAACCAGGGGAGACATTAAGAAGTGGCAGAAGAGTGGGGTGCAAGGGTTCCTAGTCCAATGTGAAGGATTAGTTGTGAGGGAGTCTGAGATCATGTGTTTCTCAGTTCCTGTACAAACAGAACACAAGGAACTAGTAAATTTAATTAAGGAATTCCAAGAACTATTTGAAGAGCCAAAGTCCTTACCCCTAAAGAGAATTCATGATCATTCAATTCCCTTAATACCAGGGGCTCAACCTGTGAACAAGAAGCCCTACAGGTACTCATTTGATCAGAAGAACATCATAGAGAAAATGGTGGGGGAAATGCTGGGAACTGGAGTGATTGCAGAGAGAGTTTCACCCTTTGCTTCTCCTGTGTTGTTGGTACCAAAAAAAGACAACACTTGGATTTTGTATTGACTATAGGGCATTGAACAACATAACAGTCAAGAACAAATTCCCTATTCCTTTAGTGGAAGATCTTTTCTCTGAATTGGCTGGATCCAAATTCTTCACTAAGCTGGACCTAAGTGCAAGATATCATCAGGTGAGAATGCAAGAAGGGGAGAAGTATAAAACTACATTTAGAACTCAACAGGGCCTTTATGAGTTTAGAGTGATGCCCTTTGGCTTCACTTATGCACTATCCACTTTCCAAGCCCTTATAAATTATGTGTTCAAGCCCCTATTCAAAAATTTTGTCTTGGTTTTCTTTGATGATATATTGGTCTACAGTCCTGACTTGGAGAAACACTGGGATCATCTCAGGGCTGTGCTACAACTGATGAAGGAAAACCAGCTCCTAGCCAAGCTCAGCAAGTGCTCATTTACACAAAAAAAGTGTGGAATATCTAGGGCATATAATCTCAGAAACTGAGCTTGATACTGATCCAGCTAAGCTACAGGTTGTAGCTGAATGGCCAAAACCAGGGTCTGTTAAAGAGATTAGGGGATTCCTAGGATTGACTGGCTATTATAGGAGGTTTATTAAATCCTATGGAATTATCAGCAGGCCTGTAACAAACATGTTGAAGAAGAACTTCTTCTAGTGGAGTCTAGAAGCTGAAACTGCTTTCAGCAACCTTAAACAGACACTCTGCTTAGCACCTATTCTAGCCCTTCCAGACTTCAACAAAACTTTTGTCATAGAGGCTGATGCAAGTTACAAGGGCATGGGGGCTGTTCTGATTCAAGAAGGGAGACCTATACCCTATTTCAGTAAGGCTTTTGGTGATAAACATCTAGGGCTATCCCTTTATGAAAATGAATATCTTTCCATCATCAATGATGTTGAAAGGTGAAGATCATACCTAGTGGGAAGGCAATTCATCATGAAGACTGACCACCACAGTTTAAAATTTCTCCTAGAGCAAAAGATAACCACTGCTATTCAA